TCATAGCTACTAAAGAAGAAAACGATTTTTGATTTGACGGTTTCCCCAGAAAATTTTGGCTCCCAGTTATAACCCAAATTCCAGTCCCTGTACTTTAGTACTGCCCCTTCCTAGAGATATAATGTTTCACCTTATATTGTCCTTTATCCCCCATTTTTGTCATCTGGCACTTGCACTTGATCTATCAGTCCTTCCTCACAATTGATTATATTGGCCCCCCACCAGAGCCCAGAACCATATCGCTATTTCAGACTACTGGTTGTCTGTTTGATGGTTGTTTTTATATTGTGTTATGTCGTTTGTTTTATTTTGCTTGTTGCTGCTTTATGAATTTTTAATGTGTTATATTTAAACCATGTTGATATTGATTGGGCTTTTCCCCTTGTAAGCCTCCCTGAGACCATTTGGGGAGATGAAGGAGGGGTACAAAAATAAAGTTATTAACAATAGGTTAGAGTGATTTGTAGTGGAAGCATTTTGTTTTAAGGTTAATTAGAGATGGCTAAGATTTTATCATCATGTGTCCAGTATAACTTCTGCTGCTAAAGACTCACCCCGCTATTCATCATCCATCTTCCTCTTCAAACTGACATAGGTAGATGGTTCTCCTACTTTAGAATATCCACTAGGTTATTGGGAGCCTATTGATTATATTTTGAACCACATTTTTTTGTGGGAAATTGTGGTTATGTTTAATTGTAGCTTAAGAAAGTTAGCCAGTGTTACAATCATGGTTTGTTCCCCATTGTTAAAATTAAGATTATTCACATTTTATATACTACAGTTATTTCAGACTGGAAATGAAAGTTTGTTTAGTCTTCATGCAGTATATTCTTCAAGAAATCAAATGGCTGCAAGAATGGATGGCAACCAGGAGCTAATACACACATTGGCAGCAACCTTAATGACTATGCATACTTTAGCCAAATGCATAATCCAGCTAGTTTGTAGTCAACTTTGTGCAAGAGGAGGGCGTTTATAGCCATGTTGGGAAATTTGCTGATGCACAGGTGGCATTTGGTGGTTGTAAGACAAATAATTTTGTTTGCCGTGTATAGGGGACTGAGTATGGATATTTATTTGTAGCTGGAGAAATTTTTCAAGGAGTGGTTATTTCCTGCACTTTGGGGAACCTTTTTCGGAATTGTAGTTCAAAGAAGTAATTGTGCATTGTGCATTGAATTATCTTTTCTTTGATCCACTTAATTGCTCCATTCCCCACCCCCTGTTTTATAGTATTGGGGATATTCAGTTTCCTGCAACCTCTTGTTGCCTGATCTGTATTTTGAAATAGTATTTAGCTCTATTTCTTTTGGGGTAGTTAGAGAATATCTGCCTCATTGTGGATGTTCTCAAATTAAGTGTTATGTCCAGTGTTTCCTTTGGCTATCCAATTGTCTCTTTAATATTAGAAGCAGAACATTCCCTGAGGGCAGGATGTGGTGGAGAGCACCCAGCTCTGTGTTTGCTGGAAAGCAAGCTATCTACAAGGCATTTATTCTTTCATCATTATAGTAAAGCCCTATTGAAGCACTCCATAGAATAGATAAGACTGTGGCAATGCCAAGATATACCAACGTGCAAGTTTCTTTGCCAATTAATTTGTGTCAGCAAAGACAACAAGTAAGAATTTTAAATGGGGCCTTGAGCAACAGTATTTTATCTTGCTTCATTTTTTAAATGCAAGAGATGTTTGTTCTTACTTTCATGTTCATACGTTACTTCAGTAACAGTGTTCAATTTAGCATTTAATATCTATGCAGAGATAAAAATCAAAGCAGTAAAGGCTTGCCTTAGGACCCTTCCACATAGCCATATAACCCAGGATATCAAGGCTGAAAATCCCACAATATCTGCTTTGAACTGGGTTGTCTGAGTCCACACTGCCATACGTTCCAGTTCAAAGCAGTAAATGTGGGGTTTTATTCAGCTGTGTGGAAGGGGCCTTAGACATCAAAGCCCCTGGCAATTAAGTTCCTTTCTATGAAGGCTTATATTACACCAGGGGTCCTCAAACGTTTTAAACAGAGGCCTAGGTCACAGTCCCTCAAACTGTTGGAGGACTGGATTATAATTTGAAAAAAAAAACACATAAATGAATTCCTATGCACACTGCACATATCTTATTTGCAGTGCAAAAACACTTTAAAACAATACAATAATTAAAATGAATAACAATTTTAACAAATATAAACTTATTAGTATTTCAGTGGAAAGTCTGGGCCTGCTTTTGGCTGATGAGATTGGATTGTTGTTGTTGTTGTGTGCTTTCAAGTCGTTTTAGACTTAGGTTGACCCTGAGTGAGAGCCAGGTAAATGACCTTGGAGGGCTGTATCTGGCCCCTGGGCTTTAGTTTGAGAACCCCTGTATTACACCACCCAGCCCCCCCCCCCCCATTTATCTTTCTATTTTCTGTCTAGCAGAATGTTTTTAACAGTACTGTCCAGGGCCATAGCCAGAAAAAAAAACCCCAAAACATAAATTAGCAAATCATGAAGAGTAGTTCCATAATACAAAATAATTTAAATAGTATGGTTCATTCTATATTTTATATTATGAAATTCATTTTCTGGTCTCCTTCATGGGGGGCTTCAAATCTCGCCCATGTCTTAGGCTTTGCCGACTACTTATGGGTGGGCCAAGTTGTTTGCTTCCACTATATCAGCTATTGCTGCAAGTAATGACTGAATAAATTGTCAAAATTTGCTAGTGATAGTGCTTGCAGTTCTGGAGGGACTCGTTTAATTTTTGCTTCTCATAGGCTTAGCATGGGGATTTGGTTAACCAGTTAAAATTCATGAGTAAACCAGTTTTTTTAACCTGAAAAATTTCGGGGAGGGAGGAGGTTGAACCCCCTCCCCCTGCTGCAGCCCTGGTACTGTCATTGAGAGGATAGTGAAGGAGGACTGGAAAAACAGACATCTAAAGGATTTGGCTTTAGCCAGTCCTTCTGTAAACATGTTCTTGCCTACAATAGGCAAGGTGAACAGTAGACACCTCCAGAATTCCTTACTGATCCTGTATGGAAAAAAACCCAGAAACAAGAAGGGAGCAGGTAAGTAGAGCAGAAGCATCCTACAGAAGGCATTTCCATTCCCAAGCTAACAAGACCCATTCTACCCAACTCAACTGAGTGCCTGGTAATAGATGTCCTGAATTTAGGAATCATGCCAATCGCCTTCAGAAATTCTGACAAGTAGAATTGACATCACTTCTGGACCTAAAATAGCAAAACATGAAACTGGGGTGATAGAGGGAGGATGGGGAATGATAATGCTGTAAAGGGAAATGATGGGTTTCTGGAAGAGTAGAAAATGGGATATACATTAAGTTATTCCCACCAAATTGGAAATCTGGACAAATTTAAACCGTGACCATCAGATTCTAACTTGTGGCCTGTAACATTCAGCCTATCACATTTATGACAAAAACCACTTGTCCAAAGTTACTATTTACATTTTCAGAGAACTCTGCTAGGACCAGTGGAAGTTGAAATACAAATAGCATCTTTCACATTACTAGAGGAATGTAATAAGGGAAGAGAAAGTTAAACATCTGGTCCATACTTCCATAGTTTCATGGCTGATCAGACGTCAGCAGTTAATTACATAATAAATTACCGTAGTTACATGCAAATTGCATTCATGCTTTTAACATCACATGCAGTTTGGCCTTAAGATTCTGATTCAATTGAGAGCATGATGAATCTGTTCCAGTGAAAAAGTTGGGCACTTTAAATGCTGGTGAATTATATGTTAAATAGTTTTCTTCTGGATTCTTCACGTCCTGATACTATCTCGGTTTACTTGGAAATAAGCCCAGTTCTGATCAAAAGGGCTTGTATCCAGGTATACTTTCATAGGATTACATCTTCAATATGTAATCTTTGTTGATTACATTTACCCACATACAATTTTCCTTCTTGTTTGATGAAAATCTTATTCGTCTCATTCAGTTTCTGCTTTGAGATACAGTTTGAGTGAAGAATATCACACTTTCTTTGAACTTTTCACTTAGTGTGTATAATGCTGACTAATATTTAAATTCAAAACATATTTCATATACAAAGTATACATGTTATATCTATTCCTTGACTGCAAGTGCTAGTAAAACAAGTAGGCAAATGACAAAAAGCTGTTTTTACACTTTGAAATTTGGTAGTCCTCCTCTGGAGGTAATGAGAATAGTTACACAGTGAGCCCTGTCTGACAAAATATTTTTTTTAACAAGATGGGTACCTTGCTTAAGCAAACTTGCCAGTCAAAGAGAACTGGCCTGAAGGGTGGCATTGTCTATTGATGCAGAGGATGCAGGTTTGAATACTATTCTGGGCACGGAAGCCTCTAGAAAAAACAGGAAGAGCGGCAAAAGCATTTGATTAAGTTAGATTTAATTTTTTTCTTATTTAACTTATTTTTTGTTAGGCTTTATAAACCCAGATTTCAAAAATCACATTTTTAGTATCTGTTTTATGCAAATTCACATTAGTTCCTCTTTTTGGAATCAATATTAATAGGGGGTGGTGGATTTTAAATCTGTATTATAGGTATGACTTGTTACACTGTTTTCTCTGAAGACATGAAAACCTAGGTTTTCGTAATTTCACTTGTAATAAATATTTTACAATGTCTCGTTTAATTTTCTATCAGATGCAATACCCAAGTTGCCTAATTTGTACAAAATGTAGAAATGTGACTTTTTAAAAAAAGACTTTAATTTTGTAGTAAGATTGTACTGGAACTCCTTCAAGTATTGCTTCAAGTATTGCTTCCTTTTTCCACTGTTACTTTCCTTTTCATCAATTTTTCTTTCTTGATGCCTTGGTGTGTAGACGCAGTTTATTATTCGGTCATGTAATATATTTTTGTATTCTGCGACTAGATCCTGTTTAATGTAATTTATATGCTTTTATATTTTATCACCCTTTGTACTCTTATCCATGCCAGTAGTAACTACTTGTTATCTTAAATAATTCTTTTTTATTATTATTATTTTTCAGGGCATACAGGACGATTACTGAAATCATTATGTTTCATGAGTCTAACATTTCTGCTTCTGCATATCATCTTTCAAATCACAGTAAATAGCCTTGAAGCTGCTAACACAATTGAACCAGATTATAACTGTGAGTATGCCTTACTTTAGTTTTCTAACATTCTGTATATAGGAAGCATGTAAGCAATATGTATATTGTTATGGTTGCTAAGACGAATGTTGACTTTCTGGAAAAGTCTTTCCTTAGGGATTTTGATTTTACAATACTCTACTGACCCTGAAGAGAATATGTAGTTTTTTTTCTGGTTTGATTTAGCATTCTTATTTCCTTTGTTTAAAATGTCTACACTAAAATATACATTTTGTTTTCTGATCACCCAAATATTGGTGTCAAAACTTCCTTATTCATCTAAAATGACCAAAGATGGGTAAAATGCAAGACACAAAATATTAGGGGGAAACTGCCTTTGTAATTTTCAAGCATGATGCAATAAGAGTCAAAATGAGTGAACAATCCAGCAAGAAAATATTATTTTATCAATGCTTCACTATGGGTTGGAAATCATTTGGAATTGTTTTCCCCTGATAAATTATCAGAACATACATAATGTTGGCTTACTAAGTTCCCATTGAATTAATGTGCTGCTGTAATTGTAACTGACAATTGGATTCTGGATTATGTAGCTTATTTTATATGTAAATCTTCACAAATTTTGTTGTTGCTAACCACGAGGGGGTCAAAAAATTGTGCAGATTTGAAAACTATTTGCAAATTGGGACTTAATGTGTATCAAAACCTAATTTTTTTGTGCATAAAACAATTTCCGCGCAGAATAAAGATTTCTTGTACAGCTTACAGTATCTTTTGTATAGAAATTTTGCTTGCTGCATATCATATTGCTTTCTGTTCAGAAAAAAGCTGTTTTGTTTGCAAGAAAATATTTTTATGCACAGTAAATACCACTTTCTGCAAAGATGTACATGCATTTCTTCATACAATAAGTCTCAAATTGCAGTTCCATGCCCATGTAGGTGCTCTTTTTTCAAGATTTCCCAATATACATGAAACATAGTTTTCAACCAATTGTGAACATGTTCTAATATTATTTCCATCACAAATGTTTACTGAAAATTAAGCCAGTCCTTATTTTAAAAGAATTATTGCTATTCTGAGAAAAAAAAATTCAACAATTTCAATTTTAGTGAGTAAGTTAGACAAAATACTTAATTTAGGTATTACAAGAACACACACAAGTGTATACCCCACAAGGTATGGTATACAACAAACATACAGCTGTTGATAGTAATACACTTTATTGATAGTACACATATTTCCATTCAAAACTATATTAGGAAACAACAGTAAACCTATTTGACACTCCAGGAAAAAAGAACATACAGTAGCTCAATTATTTAGAAAAAGGGAGGCAATGAAAATAGGTAACATTGTAAAATTTACAATGACAAATAATTTGATATATGAATTGTTGCATATCTAACATATGTTCTTTAGAGTTTTCAAAAATATCCATATGTGTTCTCACATTGTGAAACCCTGATACAAATTTATCAACTGTTGCAATAATTTGTGGGCCTGGGAAGGGCTTTAACTTAATTCTTTTAAATGCATTTAAGTGGAATTGTTGCTTTAATTGTTTTTAAATTTGTAAATCAAAATTTTACTTGCATTTTGTTTTAAATTGTTGTAAGCAAGGCACCATAACTTTTTCATATGCTAGATTCATTACTTTGAAGATGTTAGTCACAGATGCAGGCAAAACATCAGGAGGGAATGCTACTGGAACATGGTCATACAGGCTGAAAAACTCACAGCAACCCAAGTTAATTAAATTCAAAGATACAGCATTTTGAAAGATACCTTATACATATTTCACTTTAAATTGGAATATCTAAAAATCAGAATCTATAAACTGCACATATTATTACATTTTAGAAACTATTTAAAATTCCTTTAATCTGACACCTAATTATTCAATAAATACTTGATAGTTTGGGAGAAATTAAAGTATAAACTTTTAAAGCAAGCACAAAATATAGTTGTGATATACCTGGAAACATTGTAAATTGTATTTAACATTAAGTTTTTCTTATGGAATTTTACCTGGGGAGTCGGATTCTAATGTCAGTTTCAGTGCATTGCATCGTCTTCACATCAAAAATGTTGATTAAACTTCCACGACATAAAAACTATGTCAGCTATTGCTGCTATTCAATGTAAATTGGCAGAAAGATAGGTAATGATGGTATGAATAAATTGTCAAAATTAGATTGAGATAGTGCTTGCAGTTTTGGAAGAACTCTAATTTTTGTTTCTCATAGGCTTACTATGGGGATTTGGTTAACTACTTAAAATTCATAAGTAAACCATTTTTAAAAAACATGAAAAATGTCGGTGGGGCACGGTTTGAACCCGTAACTCTCCTCCCCCAAGGCTATGGACTTGCCTCTGAAGCATTTTTTTACAGTTCCTTTGAATTCTCTTCTGAGGAGGGTCGGTTATGGTTCTGTAGCTGCAGAATTTGCTTAGTTCTGTCTGCCAAAGAGCCATGAGATGATGCTAAAGTTTGTGTATGTGTGTGTGTATGTGTTAAGTGAGAAAGACATGGGGTGAGGTTTCTTTTGGAATATTTCTGATGAAAGAAGTATTACTATTTCATCGTATTGAGAGCTGAAAGCCAGAACTTGGAAAGTTAGGCAAGCTTTTAATAGGGATTTTTGGACATGAGACTGTATTATGCAAACAGCATGTGACAGGGCAGTGAAAATATATCAGGTGATGTCATAAAACATTGGTGGAAAACAAAACTTGAAGTTTAAAGGAAGAAGATAATACTGGCAAAACTCTAGGATTATAGTTGGTGTAGCATGGATGAATTTGTACTCGATAAAAACAAATGAACCTCTGTTCACACTTTGCTAGTTCTAACAGGAAAATTGGGAGGTAGATATCCAGGTGGCATAGGCTTGTTGTGAGTCAGAATTAGCATTAGGAGTCCATCTCTGTGCCTCTTTGAATCCCCATAATGCATGGAGTGCGTGAAGACGGGTTGGATCACTACAGAATGTTATTATCTGTCTCAAAGAGTTTTGTTGTCTATTCATCATCTGTAGCTTCTCACTGGAAGTAAATTGCACCCAATATAATTTGTTTGATTTTATAGCATTTATTTTAATTTGACCACATGGTGCAATTGGTAGCTGCAAGATGTTGATTGTATTGCTTTGGTCTTTCAATCTCGTTTCATAAAAACAGAAAAAAGTAGAGATTTAACATTGCATTTCGAAAGAAAAATGGGAGGATTGAGGCGAGTGGAACTTTTTGTTGGTGAACAACACTTCCCATACTTCCTATGAGTAGTAAAGGCGGTGCAAGTTAGAATTTTGCATTACCAAAGTGCAAAATGTAAGGCTTGGTTTCTAAAAATCTGTTGCAATGGTTTTAATTTCACTGCTGTTGATGTTTTTTTAAACCTACAATAATGTTGGAAATGAAGATAATTTTTATTTAGATCTATATTTGTCTCAAAATAGGTTAATCCAGTGTTTCTCAGACTCTGCTTCTACAGGTGTTTTGAACTTCAGATCCCAAAAATTCCAGCCAGCTTACCAGCTGTTAGGAATTGTGGGAGCTGAAGTCAAAAACTTCTGGAGTAGCACAGTTGGAGAAACTCTGGGTTAACCTATTAACACATGTATAAATCTAGACATTTTTTGTAAAGAAATTAACTCCAAAAATCAGAGTTCACTTATCTACTGGCCATTGTGAATATTGTATCTTAAATCTTATTTTAAAAGGAACCATCCACATCTCTGAGTAGAGATGAGCTTAGTTCATTTTGGGAGAATCTAAAAGAAGCACTGACACCCCAATCCATCTCTAGTTTTTGCCATGGTGCTGCTTCTGGCCTTTTTGAATACCTGGGTGGAGAAATGACTATGGACAGGAGTGCCCGGCCCCCTGTAATGGTTCTTTCCCCATGGAATGACCCTCAATTTATTCATGAGTCATACCAAAATCCATAATTTTGGCCTCCAGAGCACTCCTTGATGTAAACATAAGACTGATTTGTACTTGAATATGTATCATATTTTGATTTGGATTAAGAATGTATCATTACTGTATATTGCATCACAAACATATTCATCTTCAAATAAATTTATGACTGAGGAAACAGAAGCTTCTAAAAATCCTTTTTGAGCATACATCATAGGTTCAGTTTAATTTCCTGCTTACTACAATTTATAACAGTTCGAAATGTGAGTATTCATTCATTGTACTTCTATTACTAAAATAATGGTCAATTTTCCTGAGTAATTAATTATCTTGTAGTACTTAAGTGTTCGTTTTTGTAGTAGCTATCACACGGATCATATTTTTTAAGTTATATTTATTTTAGAAAATATCATTAATATTCTCATGACTTGAGAGTTATTATTTTCTGAAAACTGTGTGGAGGCTTAAAGCAAAATTATAAATATATGCATTACTTCTCCAAAATAACATATTAATTATTTGATTTAAATGCAAATTTAAAATGCAAATTATACAAGCAAGACATATACTCAATCTGCGCTCCCTATGAAGATTCTTTTTTAAACAGCAGCTCTGACAGTTAGCAAGGAAAGGTCTTTTACAGACCAAATAGAGGTTAATTTCTTGTGAAGACAGTGCAGAGAAATGTCAGTGGTTAAGATTCTGAGTCTTCCAGTTGTACATAGTTCTCAGCTATGTGTTCATATAGTTTTCCCCCTTTTGAACATTTTCTGAGGTCTTTCTTAAACATGCCTTTCTCAGCTGCCACTTCCTCTGTGGTTGTACCCACACCTGTTCAGCTATGGCTACAGACCTCTGGCCATGTGGTTGGTTTTCTTGTATGGAAACCTAACCAGTGACACTTAGACTTTTGAGACATCCATATAGCTTGAATGGTTTGTTGCTATGCCAGATGCCTAAACTATGTAGACCAAATTCTGCTCACCTGTCTGGATGGTCATCAGAACTATTTATTGTTCTTAACAGCAGAGTACCTTTCTTTATCCCCAAGGGATTCCAGGACAATGAAGAAAAATTAGAAAAGTACAAATGCAAGAACAACAGTCGAAGTGCAA